CATGTGAACATAGCAAGTTTCGTTAACAGATTCAGACTTAGCAGAAAACTGGACATGGCATAAACAGAATTACGAAGGCATGTTTGCGAGCTCGATGCACTCACCACAAAGCATTGCATGACAAAATGAGAATACAACCAACAAGAAGACATGATAAAGAAGCTAAACATGGCAAGAACCATCTCATATCATGCAAGGATCAACTACAACAACCTTGGCAAAATTGATTAACATGTAAACAATCTGCTAGGAACATTTTATAGCAAAAGTAGAGCAAGATTGAGTCATGCTAGGGCACTCCATAATTGCAAACAAAGACATGGATGGATAGAGCATAACAATATGTCAAAATCATCCTTACTGAACATGCTCAAAAGAGGCATGGATCACTCTGTAGCAACAAGAATACATGGCATAAAAATAACAACAGGAAAAGGACTTAGTGAAATTCTAAGTCCCTGAAATCAGCAACATCACGAGAGCTACTTTGCATGCTTGTGCTAGTCACCACATTGATCACAAAAATACATGGCATACACCCCTGTAAAGATGGCATGTCATATAACAAAATACATGTAGAGCTCATAGCCATATGCAACACACATTAATCATGGCAAAAATGACAAATGATCATAATCTGATAAGAAACAGGGACTAACATTATATATCACTCTTGCATCAACCATTTGGGCATCAAGACGGACTCAAACGAGCATGGCACAATGGAACAAAATGAAGAGGACAAATAGATGAACATTTCGATATACACCACGCACGAAGCGGAGCAACGGTGATGAAGTTATGATGCGATGAATAGGGGCATAAAGTTACTGAGATCCTCGGGACTTGGTGGAATTTTACCTCCGCAAAAAGTCAACGCGGGACGGAGGGAAGCGGGACGAAGAGATCCAGGATCGGGGCACCGTGTTTGGTTTGGGGACCGGTGGATCTCGTCCCACCTGGACGAATTCGACCGGATCCGACTCTGGCGAGGGCGGCTCCGGCGAGGGCGACCGGAGACGGCACGGCGGAGGCGGCGGCCGGAGAAGGGTGCGGGGCGGCGCGCGGGGCCGGCGGCGACCCGTGGTGGCGTAGGATGGCAGGAGAAGGTCCGGCAGGGCGCTGGCGGAGGCGGTTCGGCCAGTGGCTGAGCATGGCGAGCTCGTCCATGGCGGGCGGCAAGCCTGGCAGAGCGGCGGAGCATGGCGCGGTGGTTGGCGGAGCAGCGCAAGGCGACGGGGCATGGCGGATCCGGCAGCGGGGTACGGGTGGAGGAGCGTGGGCGGCGTGGCTCGTCGGAGTCCGGCAAGCTCCAGCGAGTGGAAGCGGGTGGCGCGGAAGCCGAGGCGGCGACGGGGAACTCCGGCAAGGCGCCGGCGAAGATCCGGCGAGGCGGCATGGCGCGGGCCTCCTCGGGCCCGGGGCCGGCCGGAGATGGGCTTCGCGACGAAGTGGGGCGTGGGCGTGTCGACGTGTCATGCTGTGAGTGGAGGGGAGCGGCGGCGGGGTGACGTGTTGCGCTCCCATTGGTCGGAGCGACGTGGCGGCTGGACATGTCCGGCGCGGACGAATTTGTCCGGCGGCGCGAGGTGGACGAAGGTTAGGGTTTATCTGCGCGAGAATTTGGGAGGGAGCACATATTTATAGGTAGAGGGAGTTAGGATAGTCTAAATGAGGAGCGGTTTTCGGCCATGCGATCGTGATTGAACGACCGAGAGGATGGAGGGGGTTTGGATGAGTTTTGGGCCACTTTGGAGGGGTGTTGGGCTGCAACACACACGAGGCTTTTACGGTACCCCGGTTAACCGTTGGAGTATCAAACGGACTCCAAATGGCACGAAACTTGACAGGCGGTCTACGGGTGGTGTACCAAGGCCGCTTGACAAGTCTCGGTTCAATCCGAGAATGTTTAACACCCACACACGAAAAGAGGCAAAAGAGGGCGCCGGAGGACATAGGAGCACCGGATTGCAAAACGGACAACTGGGAAAATGATCGGATGCATGAGACGAACACGTATGCAAATGTGACGCACATGATGACATGATATGAAATGCATGACACACAAACAAATGACAAGGCAACAACAGCGAATAACTGGAGGACACCTCACACAACGGTCTCGGGGCGTTACACATGTCTAGTGAGAAGAGATGCTTGACCAATATGAGAGATGTGCATACCTGCTCCATTGGCGATGTGGATCTTGTCGGAGTCGTGATAGGGTTCACGAGTGTGAAGCTTCCCCATCTTGCTCGTCAGGTGCTCCGTCGCCCCAGAGTCCATGTACAAGTGAGGATCGATGGAGTAGGACTGAGTGTGTCCTTGTTGCTTCTGCGGCGCCGGACGATCAACCATGGCAACCTGACAGGCAAAGTTGCGTGTATCCTTGCCGTCATTTCCAAGACCAAGGAAGCTCCGCTGAAAGCGTTTGTGATACTTGGAGGACCAATGCCCCTCAATGCCACACAACTGACACACGCGTCGACCACCGGCCCCTGGTAAGGTTGCAGACGCGGGGGGAGCCGACGATGACGAAGCCGGGGGCGGCCCCTTGGACAAGCTACGGCCACCCTTAGTGGCGGCGTTCGTGGAGAGGGAGCCGTGACTGGCTTGGAGCGGCGCGCCTCAACACGCTGCTCGGTGAGGAGAAGACGGGAGTGGAACTCATGTGCCATCATGGGAGTCGAGTTGCCCCGCTCGTTGATGATCTCAACCAAAGCATCATACTCCTCGTCGAGCCCGTTGACGATGAAGGAGTTGAACTCGGAGTCGGTGAGCGGCTGTCCAATGGAGGCCAACGTGTCAGCAAGGCCCTTCACCTTGTTGTAGAACTCCGTGGCCGTGGAGTCAAGGTTCTCGCACTCGCCAAGCTGACGACGGAGCGCAGAGACACGAGCCTGAGACTGCGCCGCAAATGAGCGCTCAAGGATGGTCCAGGCCTCATGAGACGTCTTGGCGAAGACAACAAGCCCGACGACAGCCAGAGAG